GTAAAGGTGTTTTACTTTTATGGGAACGGTCTCTAAGTGTAGGTTTTCCAGGTCAAAGGGGGTGTTTGCATCTTTGGTTTTAAACATCTTTTCAGATTGCATTCAAAAACGTCTGTTAGATTTACATTTTCGCCGGCCTCATATGAAAGTGCGCTCTTCACCAAACGCCTGGCAGCGGTAGGCTCGGTGCTTGTTTGTTTGTTTGAAGGGCTTTTTTTGTTTATATTATAAACATTTCCAAACATTTTGAACAGAGAAAGAGTAGTATAATGAGGCCCCCAATACTCACAACTCAGCCTCAGCAATCAACAACATCTCACCATTACTGGACCCTTCTTTTTACTTTTTGAAAATTTATGGGCATAAAGTGATATATACGTGTTACTTTTTTAAAAACTTGTTTAAACTTTTCTCTGACCACTAGTGTTTTTGAACCCAACTTCTTAACTTTTGGCGTTGTTCTAACACTAAGTGCCCATTCACAGCCTTTGCATATTTTTTGTCTTTTTCTTGTCGATTTGTAGCTGCAGTTTGTATGTTATAGATGTTCATCTTCATTTATCTCCCTCATTGCCCATATTTTCCTAATCGGGTGTTTGTTTATGGTGTTGTTACTCCTCTAACACTTTCGATTGTTTATATGTTGTCAAATATATCTTTTTAAATCTTGTATAGCTTCTACGTCTTCTGCATTGCATAAGAAACAACCCACCATCACCGCCACTATAAGCTGGTAAAACCACTTTGAAAAATCTCCTAAACCTCCTGGAGTTGAACCTACACATGTTCTATGACTCTAAACATGTACGCAACAGAAATGCATAGACATGGTCACCAGAAGCCGTGTGCAAGAATATTCAGAGCACTCTTCATAACAGCCAAAACCCCAAATGCCCGTCACCATTGAGATGGACAAATAAATTGCGGTATAGTCACACAGTGTAATATTCTACAGCAATGAGAGCAAACACGGCTGCCTGCGATGCCACGAACAAACTCATAAAAATAATACTGAAAAGAGAAGCCAGGTGTTGAAGAGGACATACTGTATGCTTCCATTTATGCACATATCCAAAAATGAGCAAAACTAACTTATGGTGTCAGAAGTTGATGTAGCAGTTACTCTTAGAATAGGTCTGGGGAACTTTTGGCGTTGCTGGTCATGTTCTGTTTCTTTATCTGTGCACAGGTTACATGGTTATGTTCACTATGTGACCCATGATTTGTACACTTTCCTGTAGGTGTGACAAAACCCATAGGTGGATGTTTGTAGTAGCTTTACTCAAAATTACTAAGACTTGAAAGCAACCAGAACGTTCTTCGTTCTTTGATGGGTGAATAGATAAATAAGCTGTGGTCCCCCCATACAATGGAACATTATTCAGCGCTAAAAAGAAACGAGCTGTCAAATAGAGAGGCTTTCAATCATGTTGTTGGGGCGGGGAAACACTGTGCTCACCTCCTCCCAGATCATCAAAATTACAACTAAACTACAGAACAACCATCCTTGGGAAACACCTGTAGTCTAGCTGAACAGAAGTCCTACAACTAAGGACACAGAGAAGCAGCCACATCGAGACTGGTAGGAGAGGCAGAGCTGCAGAATGGGCTGGTCTGCCCCCATGTGGGGCGGTTAAGAATCAGGAGAAATATCTCAGCTGCGGAGAATCCCCCCGAGGAGCGAGGGCTCCCAGTCCCAGACCAGATCCCCAGCCCCGGTTTCCAGTGCTGGGGAGAGAAGTCCCCACAACCTCTGGCCATGAAAACCGGTGGAGATTTTGTCTGAGGGAAACAGAGGGCAGCTGGAGCATGGGCATCCTCGTAAAGGGCCTGCGCTCATGGACTTACTTGCTGACGGACTCTCTTGCTCTGAGCTCCAGCACTGGAGCAGCAGCTCAAAAGGCTCCAGGGACATCAGGGAAGGAACTGAATTATCCGGCTTCAGGGCGAGGGTCGAAGGAGTGACTTTCTTCCTGAAAGAGGTGCTGGCAGTATCCGTTGTTTCTTTGTTGAGCCCGCCCCCTTCCCGACATGCAGACGCAGGCAGGTGCCCTGAGTCTCCAGCAACCTGACCAACACTCGTCGCCCTGCCCAGGTGATTCTCTGAGACCCCACCCCACCCAATTTGTGGGCCCACCCGAGCCACTTCCAGTAGCCTTTCCGTACAAAAGGACTGTCTCGGCTCATGCTGTGGACTTTCCTAAAGTCTGTCAAATATTCTCAAACTCCAAACAAGCAGCTTCTAGCCTTGGTGTGCCCCACACCTCTTGCAAAGTATCCCCCAGCCCAGCACTAGCACCAGCTGCCCTCGGTTCTCAGCTTAGCCTCTCCCAGGTACCTCCAAGCCCAGCACAAGTGGCAACCATCTGCAGATCACTTTGTAGCTCATAACAAGTAGCCCCAGGCAGGGCACAGGCAGCTGCCGAACTTGACCTGCAACCAAGCCCCTCCCAAGAGGCCCCAGAACCAACACAGCTGGTGGCCAGCTTCAGGCCACACCAGAACACCACCAAATCACCTCCACAAACAACACACCCAGAGGGCAGACTGGCAGGCACCAGAGCCCCGATAAAGTGAATCCTACTCCATAGGGTCAGCCTCGGCACAACAGCTCCTCCACTGTGGCCACCAGGCCGTCCTCATAAACAATCAGCCTGAGGGGCCATCCCTCCCACTGATGAGCTCTAAGAACTAAAATCTATTTTGTAAAAGAGAAAGGTGTACTTTCTTTCTGATGGATAATTATGCCGAAACATTTATTAAATTTTCCAGTGAGTTAAAATATCATCTTTGTTATTTATTAAGTTCTTACAAATGCTTGTATATATTTCTGGATTCTCTGTTGGGTCCAACTGATCGATTTATCTATTTGTCAATTCCTGTGCTAAGCCTATACCGATATTGTGGTTTTACAGCATATTCCGATATCTGGTAAGAGAAGCCCTTTCTCATTAATTATTCTTTATTTGCACACTTCTTTGGGCTGCTCTCGGGCGTTAATTCTTGCATGTGATCTGTATTTTAGCCAAATCTTAAAACTGTAGGTTAATAGAATTTCATTACACTTATAATTTAATTCGGATGGAATAGACATTTTAATTGTACTAATGAGTCTTCCCACACAGGGTCATAGCTTTTCATTGGCTCACATTTCGTTTTATATCCTTCATAAGATTTTATAGTTTTCTTCATATGGGTCTCGAGGCTTCCCAGTTAAATTTATTTCCAAGCCTCTTCTTTTTGTCGCTGTTACGACTGGAATACTTTTCCCATGACCGTTTCTATGTCCTCATTCCCTTCCTAGAATGGAGAAAGGCTACTGGTTTATGCGTATATATGTAGGAGCAGGGCACGTACGAGCTCAAACTGAGGTGAGAAGAATACATGTAACTTTATTTCTTTGTAATTCAATTTAACTTTTTATACGAAGCTCCCTCTGTGCCGGGAAATGCAGTCGCATCTGGCTTCTCTCAGCTTTTCTGCATGGGGTTCATAAAGTGCCAGGAGGCAAAGGGGCACTAAGTCCCTGTTGTCATCTGTTGCAGATGACTTCCCCCAGGACGCCACGGCTTCACTGGTCTCTGCTGAATCGTCCGTCTTTCCTTTCTGAAACCTCTCCCTCTCTCTATCTCTCTGCCCCGTGCATGTAAAAAGCATTCACTCACCTCCACATCACACCTCCCCATCTCCCCGCCCAGGCAGAGCGTGCAGCACCTCCAGGCGGACTACCTCCCCAGGCTCTACCCAGGAAGCCAGACACTGGGCCCTTCTGCCTTTGAACCCCACAAACCTACATGGGGTCCTGTCTTTCTCGGGGCCCTGCTGTGCCTTCTCACCCCTTGTCCCTCCTCACCCCTCTTCCTGTCCGGGTCTGAGGTCTATGCGACTCCATATTCATGCTCTCAAGTCGGGGCCCACACCCCAAGTTACTCGAACACTCGAAGCTAAAAGGAACTGCATTTTCTGTCTTTCTGCTGCCTCATCCCTCTTGGGAGGCGATCAATTCAGAGCAGCCTGAGTAGGAGAAGGGCTGTCGGCGGGAGGGGGAGATTTATAAATAAGTAGATTATAGTTGTCTGTGCATGTCTAAAGAGAGAGGGGCACCGTGTCCCCTAAAATGTGGGGAAAGAAGGTGAAGGTGTGTGTGGCTCTAGAAGCTTCTGGCTGGAGAGGGAAGATGTGGGGATGTGAGGGATGTCGCACGTGACGGGCTCACTTCGGTCAAGAATGTAGGAGGACTTGCAGGTGTCGTCACGAGTCTGGAGGGGACATGGTCTCTAAGGCAACTGGGAGAGTGAAGAGGAAGATGACCGAGCGGGGGACTCGTAAAGTGACCGATGGGTGGACAGGGGTACAGACCCTGGAACAGGAGCAAAGTGACCGATGGGTGGACGGGGGTACAGACCCTGGAACAGGAGCAAAGTGACCGATGGGTGGACGGGGGTACAGACCCTGGAACAGGGTTGGTAGCATCTTTCCAGATCAGGATTTTGTTGGCTGGAGAGGTAGAGCAAGGGAGCTGGGGTCGCCGACTGTCCTGGATGCTGTCCATGTCCCCTTCAGAGAGCCAGGTGCCCTTCCCCCAGTCGCTGAGAATGTTAGCTTCTAAGGGCTCGAATTGACCCTATTCTGCAAAAATTCACCCTCAGCCAATGGGAGCTGTTTGCCTGAGAGATCACAGCCAGGCCCGGGCGAGGCCAGCGGCCACTGGCTGACAGACCAAGGAGCGCAGAGTGCTGGCCCCGCTCCCCGTGACATCGGACCGAAGTTCGACTCCAGCTGAGACCCCCGCACTCGTCTGGTCCCTGCCTCTGCCCCACCCTTCTCTAGAGAGCGTGACCTCATCAGTCACTTCCACAAAAGCCCCTGCTGGGCTCTCCTTCTAGGAGACCCAGTTTAAGACCATGGCATAGTCCAGGTGGTTGGCCGGGACCAGGATGGGGCCGAAAGGCGGGCGAGAGGCTGAGGACTGAGGCATCACTGAGGCATCGCACGGGAGGATGGAGTGGGGCGGCTGCCAGCACGGGAAGCTGTCGTCAGAGGAGACGAAGCAGGGAACGCGTGTGACGAGGTCCAAGTGCGGCCACGCAGTGGGCGGTGTGGCCATTAAGTCACTTGCGAGGGGCAGTCCTCCGCCTGAGGGGCCGGACTGTCCCTGGTGAGTCCACGGAGTGTCCAGGATTCGGGGCGGAGGTGAAGGCTGTGGGCCAGCTAGCAAAGCCTTCCGTGACTGCGGCTGTGACAAAGAAGGACCAGAATGACAAAGAGGAGGGGTGGGGGTGGTCCTCCAATCACCAGAGAATGGAGGAGAAATGCGTGAGGCAAACTTGAAAGCCAACCGGACCCCCGCAGGCCCTCCCTGAGCCAGGTCAGTGAGGTCCGCCTGCAGCAAGGACTGTCACTGCCACAGCCAGGCATCCTATACTGTCCAATACCTAACACACAGGGACACTGTACTGTCCAATACCCAATGCACAAGGGTGTGTAAGCTCGACCAACACGGTGACTGCAACCCTCTCGCCACCCAGAGATGGCAAATATTTACTGAGCGGGGATCCATGTTCCACCATCGTTCGGCAGAGGCCCCTGGCTCGGTGACAGAGCCAGCCCTGAGGGCGGACGTGGGAGCCTGACTTCCAGGTGGGAGCGTCGCCTTTCCCACGGGAAAGCTGAGAAGGGTGAACGAGCTAAGGACGGCACAGCACCTGGCAGGTGGCAGAGTCTCTCGTAAGGGCCTTGCTGGTGAAGTCCCTCCCCCGGGGCAAACCCAGAGCTCTCCTTGCAGGGTGACGGGGAGTGCGTGTGACAATGTGACAGGAAGGGCGGGGGAAGGAGGTCGCGCCCCAGCCTCTGCGCACCCAACTGGCCCAGGCCAGCGCGGAGTCTTCTCGGGGCTGAACGGGACCCTGCCATCCCCTGGAGGTACCGAGGGACGCGGCCGGCCCTGCGTCCGTCCTCGGCTATGGAGATCGCAGCGGGGGGATCCAGCCGGTGGCCGCCGCTCGCGCTCCAGCTCCAGCTGGCGGCGCTGCTGGGGACGCTCGCACCGCAGGTGAGATTCGGGGCGGACGCGCAGCCTCCAAGGTCCGGTCCGCGGGGCGCAATGGGACGCAGGGCGGGCGGCAGGGGTGCTTCGCCCTCCTGAGAGCTGGGGTGGTCCCCAGTCGGCCCCTGGCGAGTGGAAACCTCTCAGCTTTGTGGCGTGGCCAGCTGCCCCCGCAAACCCCCAGCCAGAGAGATGTGCCAGCGTGGAAAGGCGCAGGGAGCGACGCCAGCCTGGGGCGGGGGCCTGGCTTTACTGCAGCACCGTCTGGGACCCCCACTGCCTCAGCAAATGCCTCAGTTTAAGGGTCCCTGGGAAATGCGCCCACAAGCCCAGTTTCACAGACAAACCAGGAGGCTTGCAACGTGCCCCTTGACCCACGACCCCACGACCCCACGACCCCATGGCAGGGATAAGTAAGCCGGAGGTGGGCGCGCATGGGAGAGGAGGGTCCAGACGCAGATGCGCCAGAAGGCCAAAGCCGCCCTTCCCTCCGCCCCACCCCCCACCCCCATCCGTCCCCCTACACCTGGATGGAGTCTCCAGGGCTGAGCGGTCCAGTCCGGAGCTCACAGAACGGCTACCGGGACCGAGCAGAGCAAGGCGCCCCCACACCCGGGATTCCCGCTCTGGGCTCGCCCCATGTTTGCCCAGTAGACATGTGAGTCCAGTGTGGTGACCGAAGAAGGAAGAAAACTAGAAATGAGTAAAATTAGAAATCCAGATTTTTTGAAGTGAAGTCTTTCCAATGTTTTAATTGGCCGTTAATTCCAAACACAATTTTAGACAACGTTTTGGTCAAACAAAACTCGGCCGTGGGCCTGCAGTGTGCAGCTTCTTTCCTGCCACGTTGCAGGTCGCGATTGTCAGGGGAACCAGAGGGCTGGGGGCAGTTTCCTGATTCTGCCCCAAACCTGAGGGTCCTGAGCCCGGGGTGGCCTCTGCAGGGGTGTGGCTGGGCCACCCGGATGCGAGGCTTCCTGCCGGGAGCTCAGCCTCACCCTGTTTGCTCAAGGAGGGACTGGAGCTGGTGAGTTAGCCCCACGGGGGCCAGATGCGAGGGCAGCTCCGACCCCCCTCCCCCACCTCGGCCACCGCAGCCTCGGCCCAGGGTCCCACTGGGGCCTGGCACGCAAAGCAGCCAGGCTGGTTTGGGGAGGCCGAAGGGCTTCTCCGGAGAGGCAGACACTGTGGGGAAGGAGAAAGGGAGAGGGTGCCGGAGTCTCGGCGAGCGTAGTCCCACCCCGGTCTGCCATTCGTCACCTGTGCGGCTTTAGGCTGACCGCCTTACCTCTCTCAGCCGCGGTCTCCCTCACCTGCCCCAAGGTGAGGACATAGCAGGGGTCTCCTAGGCAGGCTGCGAGGGCCAGAGTCAGTGACCTCTCTGGGAGTCGTCAGTCCTCTTAGGGAAACCAGAGGCACGGGCCGGGGGCGGGGTGGGACTTGGAACACAGTGGCAGCTGGGCTCCCCCATTGTCCCTCCTCCTTCCTCTGTCCTGCAGGGACAGGAGTCACAGCCAGCCCTGCCTGGGGCAGGGATGGGGGGGTGGGGGTCCCAGGCCTCTGAGGGGACAGGACTTTGTTTCCTACTGCAGGCCCAGACGCTCAGGCCCGAGAGCCTCCTGCTGGTGTCCACCCTGGACGGAAGTCTCCATGCTCTGAGCAAGCAGACAGGGGACTTGAAGTGGACGCTGAAGGACGGTGAGCAAGGGGGTCACTCATTGGCCCCCGAGTTGGAGTGGTGTCACTGTGGCATAGAGGTCAAGGACAAGGGGTCTAGAATCCCACAAGCCAGTGTCTGCAGGTGGCTTCAGCACTTAGCGGCTGTGTGGCCTTGGGGAAGTCAGTCCACCTCTCTGAGCCTCAGTGTCCTCACCCGTAAAATGAAGCCGTGGGTAACGAAGCCCCTCCCGGAGCTCCCGGGAGGGTTACAGTCCACGCGTGTCAGGCGCTTGGCGTGGGGTCTGGCGCACAGTACGCGCTCAGGCTCCACACCCCTGTCCTTGCAGATCCCGCCATCCAAGGCCCTACGTACGTCACAGAGTAAGTGAACCTCTGGCCCTTGCTGGGGGGCAGCTGGGGGCCGGGGAGCCCTCGCTGTCTGGAGGGCGTTTGTGGATCAGGATGAGGGGGCATGTTTGAAGTAAGGGAGGAGAGCAGAGCCTGCAAAGGTGCTTCCCACTATCTGGGGAGCAGAGGGGATGCACCCAACACCCCCCACCACCCCTCTCTGCTTCATGAAAGCAGGGGGCGTGGACCCAACCGCCCCCCCGCCACGCCTCTCTGCTTTACAGAACGGCCTTTCTCTCAGACCCCGCTGATGGCAGCCTGTACATCTTGGGGACCCAGAAACAACAGGGACTCATGGTGCGTTTCCGGGGTGCGTGGGGTGGGAGAGGGCCGGGGCTTCTGTGAGGCAGAGCACGAGGGTCGAAGGGGCTTGGCCAGGACTTCGAGGGTTTTATGATTCCGTTACTTTTTGCTAAATAGCAAATCGCCCCACACTCAGTGGCTTAAAACCCAAGCAATTTGTTTAACTCACAGTTTTGTGGGATGACAGTTTAGGCTGGGTCGTCTCGCCTGAGCTTTTTCGAGCATCTGTAGTCAGCCGCCGGTCAGCTGGATGGCTTCATTTCTGCAAGTTGGTGGGTGGTTGGCGGCTTTCGACAGAGGCCCCTGGGCCATGTGCCTTGTCCTCCAGCAGGCAAACCCGGGCTTGTCCACATGGCACCAACAAGGGGACCGAAAGCGCGAGCACTTTGCAAGCCTTGCTTCGTGCCACTCACGAAGGTCTCATCAGAGATGTCATGTGGCCAAGCACAGAGGGAGAGGAGGAATGGGTAGCCGTGTTTTTCCATCTTCCACATCGGGGCTGTTGAACACGACTCTGGATTTGTCACAGGGAATGGGGTGGAATATGTTGTGTCGAAATTCAGCTGTGCCAGGAACCCTGCCAGAAAGGCCTTGAGTATGCGATTTAGGAGATAAATTGGTAAGAAATTTAAGGTCCCAGCGGCAAACAGCTGGCACAATCAAAGAGGCTAGCTTGAGGAGATTTGGCTAAAGGGATTGCTTAGCAAGGTGGGGGTGGGGGGAGTGTGGGAGATGAGTCACGTGGCCCATAACAGTGGGAGCCATTATCTGCCCTAAGCTGGGGGGAGCAGTAACCACAACCTGGAGCCAGAGGGAGCCTGTGAGAGGGCCACGTGCCAGGAGCCGAGGCCTTTGTGGGAGGGACACAGCCAATCCATGATGACCCTGTAGAGAGGAGATGGGGAGCACATGGCCGATCTCACCCCTTCCTCACTATCCCAACCTGACTGATGTCATCCAAACAAGTGTGTCCCTGGGAGAGAGCAGGGAGGGGAGGGGTGGGTCATCAGCAGCGCTTTAGTGTGGCATGTGTGGTCGTCAGTCACATTACACCCCTGCACCTGGGACAAAGTCCAGACAGTCTCTCTGATAGATGATAGATGGATGATAGATGAATGATAGATACGTAGATGCTAGATAGAGATAGATGATAGAGAGATAGAGAGATAGATAGATAGATAGAAGATAGATGATGATGATAGATAGATAGATGATCGATAGATGATGATGATGATGATGATGATGATAGATAG